TCTTTTTTGTACAAATTTCAGCAGTGAAAATCTTTCTTTCCTGGAATAGCATCATAAATTTAATTGCCTCTTAAAGTGAACCAAGCGGTATCAAAAAACTAAACTGATTTTGCTGATATGACTTCGAGCTTAGGTGTGGCTTAGTCTTAGTCATGTTGCATGTAAATTGGAACTCATGTATTTCATGATCATTCTTCACAAGTAATTTTGCGTATAATGAAAAACTGTGTAACCTGGAAAGAATTTTATTACTTTAAAGATTTTTGGATAGTCAAGTGAAATGATATTATTATGGTTTCATTGCATACAACTGAACGTATTCAGTTAAAAATCATATTTAAGAGATGAAATGTAATTTCCGACTGCAGCAATTATAGCTCCATTTGATGTACTCATAAACTGAATCTTTAACCATCACTGAAAGTTGGCTAATACATTGGTGTGGCGCTGTGTGTGGTCCTATCTCACAGATAAAGCAAATTTGCTTTCAGTGACGGTTAAATTTTATTTAGGTCCCTCATTATGGTTAGTTGCCTATTTTTTATTTTTATAAATCTGTATTTACGATAAAGAATGATATAGATCATTGTAAAGCAGAATTCATAAAAATTCATATTGAATCTTAATTTTTTTTGAAACAAAAAAAATTTTTTACTATACTTAGATGTTAAATATGCTCTCATAATTAATGCACAAACTGAATTTTGAAAGGAGAAAATTAAATAAGTTCTAAGGCTGATAGTCTCTGGATCATACTAGATAAAAATTCTCAGACTAAAAGACTTCAAAAATGTGCCAATGAACAAGTTCGATAGCGAGATCAAGATTTATGAGTGTTGTGAATGCGTAAATTTGCGAGGTATATTTTAATTTTCCAATTCTGAATATATTCCACGATTAGGTTCTTAAAATAGATTTGGTGAATAAATTTTTAGTGTAAAATTTCAAAGACGTATATACAGCGTAATACCGTGAGTAGATCGATCACATAGTCAGAGGAGGTATGTGAATGTCTGGAAAGTCAAGAGCTTTTGAGAACTGAAGAATGTATATGAGTGCAGGATCATGTAAGATTGAGAGACTGGCAGAGAGTTTGTGTACGTGTAAAAATGTGTAGACAGAAAAGATTGAGAGTTTGTAAGTAAATATCCTGTGGAAACATGTATCTAAGTCAGAATCAAAGATTGAGAGTTTATTTTCGGTTTAAAACTTCAAAGGCGTATATATCTCGTAATAACGTGAGTAGGTCTGTCACATATTCAGGAGGTATGTGAATGTCTGTAGAGTGAAGAGCTTTAAAGAACTCTTGTAAGTAAATATCCTGTGTGAACATGCAGCTACGTGAGAATGAAAGATTGAGAGTTTATTTTCGGTTTAAAATTTCAAAGGCGTATATATCTCGTAACTTACAAAGGAATGTATGTGAGTGCAGGATCATGTAAGATTGAGAGACTGGCAGAGAGTTTGTGTACGTGTAAAAATGTATAGACAGAAAAGATTGAGAGTTTGTAAGTAAATATCCTGTGTGAACATGTAGCTAAGTCAGAATCAAAGATTGCGAGTTTATTTTCGTTATTGCAAATGTAGAGATTCATATGGGTGCGTTAATAAAATGTTAGTGATGGTTGGTACATTGGTGTGGCGCTGTGTGTGGTCCTATAGGAGGAGGAACTTTCGTCTATGTGCTTGCGTCTGTATTTGGGTTTATGAGTGTGCCTCAGTACATGTAAGATGACTGTGTAACCTCTTTTAAATCATAGGTTTTGGATTACTGCTAGGTCTATGTGATCAATTGTGTTCAACTGTTCACGTAAGATTTCTGCGTTCAACTCTGTTCATTATATCTGTAATTTTTCATGTGATATTTTACTTCAACAGTTTTTGAGGACATACACGTATTTTATCTTCCGTTTCGTTCATACGTCATTTTATCTTCCGTTTCTTTCATACGTATTGGTGAATTTCAAGTGTACTGATTTCATGAGCGTGTTTCTTACTCTTCTAAATATCAGAGAAATTAAGATAATCGGTCATTAATCTGCTTGGCTAATGTATCGTAAGCGAAAGATTCCTGCAATTGAGAGCCATTGTGTTTCTTCATTTACTTTCTGGCCGTTATTAGGCTTTTGTAAAAGTCCATCATCTCCTTCTATATAGGTCTCTGTTACTCTCACATTGATCGGATTGGTTTATGTGATTATGATGCTGGTCGGAATTGCCCTGTGTCACTTTGACGATGGTCGGATTGGTTTATATTACTTTGATGACGGCTAAAACTGTTTTATTATTTAGAGGCGGGGTTGATACAATGATCTGCTAGTGAATTCATACTTTGCGCTGATCAGCCATTGAAATTGAGAGTAATGTTGTTCAAAACTGAATAAAAAAAAACGAAATCAGTTCGCATGGTGTAAAGTTAAGGCCATATAGAATATAAGCGAAGATAAGCATCAGTATTTGCAGATTCCATCTATTAAAAACTTCATCACTTAAATATGAAATAGCAATGACGTCTGCGAGATCTTCGCAGTCTGTCGCTTTGGTATCTAATGGCTGCTAGATGCAAGGTCTGACTGAACATTTGTTTATGCTTTTTACAAAAAGCTACTTATAGGTGCTAAGACATTCCATGTCTTAGAACCTATAAGTATTGAATGCATGAGCCATGATTACGATCTTGACAAAAAGCTAATGCTTTTTGTCAAGATCGTAATCATGGCTCATGCATTCAATTTAACTGCCTTTCTTTCTTCAAACTATTACAAAAATGACAAAATTGCTGTAGAGAAGTTGGCAAGTGGGTGGGACTTTTCAAATGAATGTTCTGAATATCAAGCCTTCTATGGCATCTTCATCAAACGTTTGCTGTGAAAATGTATTTTTTGTGGTCAGCTTTTGTAATAAATTGAAGACTACCGAGAGAATCATTCTCTCATGATTGAAATGTTTTCTCGTGTGATGTATTAAAGAGATTACATATAAGCTAATGTTAATATATCCTAAAAGGAAGTAATATCTTTAGAGCAAATGTTAGATCTACGGTTTTCAGCTTATTATGTTCTGTTTTTCATTTCAATTAATCGGTCATTCTGTAAGTATTTTGCGTACTACGTTTATTATAGACTTTACACTGACGTTAAGAAAACTGTGAGTCTAAAAAAGCTGCTTTATCTTACATATGGTAATAAGAAAATGAATATTCTTTGAATTACTTTTGAAAGATTTCTAAATTAGCATTGACAATAGATGAAGTTCTCTATCCTTAATATTTTAGTATGGGCATTGCTGAGAAATAAAAATTGTCGTACTGTATGCTCTATACTGTGTTTTGCATGATTTTCTTCAAGCATTATATGGCCATTAATAGGGTTATGTAGAAAATGTGAAGGGATGATTTTATCTATCTAAAAATGGATGCATTGAGTTTTCTGATATTATTTTGCCATTATCGTCAGGAATGTAACGAAATTTTTACCTAGTAATGGCTCATTACAGTAGTCTGGAAATGAGTATACGATTGCAGCAAAATTACAATAGTCTAGAATAAAACAGCAAAGAAACAAGTAATGGCTTTGTGCAATACAAGTAAGTGAGATTCATGTAAACCATAGGTGGATTTTCGTTTTAATGAAATTTCTTTTCTAAATTCTATTAGAAGATTATATAAAAGGAATTATGCAGATTTAGATTTATCAGTTGCAAGTATTCGTTTTTAACGATCAGAAACCAGTATTTAATTTCACATATGATTTTTCATTCCTGTACTACTGTTGCAAGTTTCTAAGTGGAAGGGTTTTTTAAGAAGATACAAGATTCTTATAAACCAAAAGGATCTACTTTAACTCAATATAACTGATTTGCATTTTTGAAAACAGATTGAATGTATTTAAAGTAGATAGTGCAGAGGTTAATTAACTACTAGTAGTAACTACAGACAACTTAAGTACACTGCAGAATGGCTAGATGATGTGCATCATTTTTTTGTGCATACATTAGACTCATTTGAAGACTGTTTGAGATTGATTGTAGTTTTAATGAAGTCATTTTTTATCTCGCAACTACATGAACAGAGACAAAGAAATAGTCCATATGGATTCTGCTCTTAGTGTTGTCCATATCATATATAAAGGAAAACAGTTCTTCAATGTAACTGCGCATTTTAAATGCAAGCAGATGTCTATATTTCCCACTGATTGTAGAATGAATAAACCTCTCCCACCACTAATCAATAATGAAATAATTCATATTGATGATGAGGGGACTAGTAGCATAGAGCGACAACGTCGATCCGCTCATTCAACCACTAATGATGAATTTCCGAAATTTTCATCACGTCAGTTACAAGTTGGAGATCTATGCAATCTCAATGTTTCTGTAAGTTCAATAGCATAACGAGTTTCAATTTAATTTTTTGCCTAAAGTTTTTGTATTTATTTTATTAAATAAAAAACGTATATTTGAATTACTGTAAGTGCACCAAAATTATATTAACTGACTTTTCCTATTTGTTAGGAATTCTCGTTATTTGTCAAAATCAGCTGGTAGCAGAAGTAAGCTATTTATATGAAATCGCTTGGTAGTTCGCACTTGAGAATAGATTAAGACGGAATTATAGTACAATGTAAGGGCCTAGCTAAAATGAATAAAATGTTTAAAAAAGTATTGATAGAAAAAAGTATGGCAGTGATTAAAAAGTGTATGCAAAGAAAGAAGTAGTAAATTAGAAATTTTGTCTTTGAGTGCTAATGACGGCAGTAGATATAAGCATTGTTGGTTTAGTAGTAGTACGTCCAAGTTAGCACTTCCGAAAAGTAAGATCTGCTTTTATTACATTTATTTAAGGTGAATAATTGTTTTAAATAGATGAATAATTTCCTTCGGTATTTCAAGAATAATTGACTTTATTTTCACCAAAAGGAATTTGTCACTATTTTTGAACATTTTTTGTTTTTTTTAATTTCATTATTTTTTATCGAAATGTTCTAAGAAAATTTCGCCAGTGTAATGAAAATTTTTACCAATAAAATGATGCCTTTGTATCTTATAGGTTTCGAAAACAAAGAAGTCGCGTCACTTAGTTTCTCACCCGTCATCTCAAGCTCAAACAACACTTTCGAAAAAAGTGCGTGCCTCAATTACATCATTATCAGCAGGATCTCAGAGTCTTGTTCACTCTTATGAACATGATGATGACAACGTTCCATCATCTTCAAAACAAAAAATTACTAGTTTTAACGTACTTTATTATGAAAGTTACGATCCCAAAGGACCAGCGTTTGAATCGCAACTATGCAATCTTAAATTTTCTGTAAGTTCATTGCTACAGTGCCTTTAAATTTAATTTTTGCTCTAAGTTTCTTTTATTTATTTTATTAAATAAAAAGAATTATTTATTTATTCTGGGTAACCTAAATAAAGAATTTGAATTATTTACAGACTTCAAAACTTTCTTGATTTTTTTCAAGTATTACGTACTGCGCATTATGTTTTTCCATTAAACATGATTTTTTTTTCTAATTTAAACCTTTTTGTTTATAAATACTCTTTGCAGTGTACTTTTGGGGACTGCCAGATGATATTATCAAATAATGTGAGCTTCATGTTTCACTTGTGGGCACATTTGTCAGAATTCAATTATTCCACCACTGGTTTTTTCAAAGAACGAGAAATGGATCAGTTTTGTCGTTGTCCGCAGTGTCTTCATATCTTTCCTACTCCATATCAATTGCAAGTTCATTTTGGCAATGTGCATGGTTCAAATCCATCTGCATCGGTATGCAGAATCTGTGAAATTACGGTTGAAGAGGTATGTTTTAGGTTATTTTTTGTTCTATGTTCAAACATACATTAAATGAGTACTTGAGATTCTGTATACATATATCAGATATATTATATATATAGGCTTTGCCGAGGTGCTGAGCCGTTTGCTCTGAGCGGCTGTGTTAAAGAAACATGATACTTTACCCTTTAAAGTCGAATTTGGGAAATATGGAAACATAAAAAAGATGCGGAGGAATAAAATCTCATCCATGGCTCATTTATTAATATGGCTACGATGTAGAAACATTACTCCCAATATGAAGCACTACGCGAGTGAGAACAGCTATAAAGATAAGTGCGGATCAACCGGGTATTATGATACACACAGTGTGAAGTAATTTTTAGTCAGGACAGGTTGACAGTACCGGAGACCGAGAAAGAAACGCAAATATGACCTACTGACTAATAAAGTTGGGTAGGAGATGAAATGCAGAACCAAAATAATTCCGTATGTGATGACTTGGAATGGGATTGTAACGAACTTCCACAAACACTATGCGAAGGAGATTAGTATATTTGATCACTTCAAGGCATACATTCAATAGGTAATTCTTAAAAAGACGCTCGAAAGCATCTCCTTCGAACTCTTATGGATTTCACGAGGACGAAGCAGAAACGATAAGCACAACAAACAAGTACAACCAGAATGTGATCCAGCACTACAATCATTGAAACGAAAAAGAAGATTAACCTCCACACTTTTCTTTTTTACTTATCCATCTTATATATATAAATTGAATAATATAAATAAATATATATATATAAACATCGGAAGTTTTTATAATTTTTATGGCTTTCACTCTTTTTTATGTTGGTTTCTTTTTTCATTAAAGTAAAAAAAAAGTGTTTTTTTAATTGAAATTTAAAAATTCTCGATATCATGCTATTTTCAGCGCGAACACTGGAAAATTCATCGTAACGTTGATGTTCCATTCCATTGTAAAAAATGCCGATACAGAACGTCCATAAGAACTCATTTCATCGATCATTTCGTTCGATTTCATTCAAATACTCGTACTTTATTGTGCCCTTTTTGTTTAGCCCATTTTCACATACGGAATACGAAATGGTCTGTGGTACGTGAAAATACATATATTGAGCACTTTTTCAAACATCAGCAAGGTGAGATGGATTCTTAAAATATTAATTTTATGCTAACTGATAACTCGTTATATCTTCATTCTTCTTTTTTGATTGCTTAATTATTTATTAGTTAAAAAAGAAAAATGTTGCTAAACTTTATCCAAATATTTTCTAGACAATTATTGCTGTGATCAGTGTTCGCTGAAATTCATAGAATATTCGGATAAACTAGCACATAAAAAAGATCATATTAAACCAAGTTCAAAGTGGGTTACAAGAATTGCTCAACAACATACAAGACGAAAAGTAAAAATAATTTCTATATGTTGTAGATATATTAAATTATTTGTCATTCTCAGTGATCAGAAAATTTGAAAATCAGTTAGAAAATGAAGTGCTGCTCTTGAAATAGCAATTTGCTTATACTTCAAATTAAAAACTTGAATCGTTAAAACTTGTCTCTTATTTGCTTTTTGAGAAAAAATTATTTTCAGTTTTTTCTTAATTAAAACTACTATCACATTATTTTGAGAAAAATCTTTGTTAAAAAGAATCTGAATACCGAGATTTTAGTTTATGTTAATGAATATTTTAATGCATTATATTTTTTAGGGTCGTTTTGTTCGGGAAAACCTCCCAGAGCGACACTGTATTGAATGTAATGAATCCTTAGATGATGTCTTGGCTCATTTTAAATCCAGATATAATTGTCCTCATTGTCGTTATGAAACTTATTGTGAAAAAGCGTACCATACGCATATCTCAATTGATTGTAGAGTTAAACGCAAAGGTTTAAACAGGTAAGCATATTATTACGTGTTGTACTGAGATGAAAGATATTAAAATGCTGGTGTCATAGAAGTAATACTAGTGGTATATGTGTAAATTAGTTTCTATAGATATTAGCGTAGCTTCGAAATTGTTCATGTGTTTTCTGAAAACAAAGATTAACAAGACGACACCGTATGTCATGAAAATGTACGTATATCGTGTAGAAAATGTTTTTAAGTTTTCATTCAAACATCATAAAAATATTTGGAAATAATATTTAGGATCCTAATCACTTCTCACTAAAGTATAAAGCTTATTATTATGTTTCGACTAAAAAATATACTTAATAAAGTACGGTGCATAAATAGTTTAGTACGTTCATGCTAGAAATTTTTTTGTTAACTGCATATCACAAATAATCATAAAAGATATTTTAAAACTTATATAGTGTCTGCCAACTGTAAGAAATATAAGATCCTGGTAATTTGATGTTTTTATATTTGTATTCATCTTTCACTGTTGTTTAATTACTTATCATGATTCACAGAATTAGCATTTCATCCATTTCAGCAATCAGTTATTGAAGGAAGTAATTATTTGCGATAATTGTAAGCGCGCCTCCTGCAATGGAGATGACATTTTGAATCATATACGGGAATGTAGCGGAGGTAGTTGTACTGTTGTCACTTTGAAACAAGAGAAAGAAACTATTTTCAGCCAGTTAAATGATAACTTGGAAGTAAGTTAACTGTTGTTTATTAAATTACTGACATGGTGAAGTTGAGTAATTAAAGTACTCGATGAACAATTTTGAAGACTTCAAACTACTTTTCATTAGCTCAGAATATGACGTAAATAATTAACTAAAGTTATGCAGCTAAACTTTCACCTTTTAAGCTTAGTTAATGTTTTGCTTAGCTTTCATAACAACAAAGATGAAAATAACCTGTCTATTTATATCTCTACTATTTAAATTTAATATAGCTGATAAGTACTATAATCATGAAACTGACTAATGTTAAGAATATGCTATACTTAACTGTTTCTACTAAGAAAAAAGTTGAAATACTTTGCTAGACGATTTTTAGGACACGTTAAACATTTAAATTTGCGTCTTTTGCAGATGGAGATTTTTGCACTTCGTCCAGTAGATCATGACAGCAATTTAAAAGATGATAGTTCCATGTCAAATTTTCGGTATTTTTCTCGTCCGCGCAACGAATCGCTGTCAAATTTTTCGTTTCATGAAGCTTATACGGGATTGGATCAAGCATATAAACACTATATGTGAGTTTTTAGTTTAATTGTGGTTTGGATTTTATATGCTGCTTGAAAGTAAGATAATATTTGCGCATTCTAAGACAAGCAACAAAATCATAGTTGCATTCATAATTTACGTTATAAAAATCAACGTCTCTTTTAAGTTATAGTGTTATTTTTTCACTATAATTATCATAAATATAACCGTTAAAACATTTTTTTCAAGTATTGAGAAATGAAATGGTATTATTATAATTTTAGTTAAAAAATTAAGTATTTTGACAAAAGTTATGTGCTACATATTTTGCAGAAGAAGTACTTGTCCAATGCCTCCAATTTCTTTCGATCATATTCTTAAACGCTTCCAGTAATTCGGCTAATTCATTTGAGCTCTTATGATATTTGAAATCTTATGCAGTTGATCTCAGCATATTTGTCTCACATCTTTATCCGTTTATTGAAAACTAGCATTATTTGTTTTGTAGCTACCAGTGCATTTTTTATTTGCTATGATTGTGATGCCAACTACAAAAAATTGACGCATCATTAACCAAATTAATATAATTTATCGGTGTTATGATTGATAATCGAATAACCTGATATCATCTAGCTTGTAGTTCTTTTTTACACTTTTTCAAATGCATAATGCAAATAGCTTTAAATGTATAAGAAGAACAGTGGTCGATAAAGGTATTTTTGCCTTGAGGATTCATCTAACTCCGAAAGCATGCACTTCAATTTGATATTTTCATCTATCATATAATTTCAGTGATTGATTGATTATATCTATACACAATTATCATTTGCTTTACGGTTTATTCTCTCCATATTTTTGTAAAACGGTTTGTATTGAAGAGCTGAAGAATATCCTTGCATCGTACCAGAAGAATATGACTATTCAGTACGTAGTGGTTTTTCCAGGCATGCGATTTTGATGCTAACTCTGCTACTATGGTTTTTTTTATTCCCTTTTTTTGGTTGAATGATTGATTTGTTTGCTTCTGAAATAATTGTTGGTATCACTTAGTTTTAGTTTGCATAATTAGCATCACTTTGCAACTGATACATTTACTTAATTAAATGATTCATAAAAGCAAACTAACTTGATAACGTATGAAATAGTTTTTATTTACTTCCTCTAGATTTCTAATTACTATTATGGATATACTAATCGAGACGTGCATTCAAGTATATCATTTACAATAATTAGAAATTTACAAGAAATATATATTTTAATGTAATATGATAAGGGCTGTAACTGCTGTGATTACTCATGTTTGATAAATTTTTACAATATGAATTATGTGAGATTCATTGTGAATCTATTGCATGCAGCTGGAATATTCAGTCTATGGTTAAGTTGATAGATTTATTCACTGGTTTGCGAATTTTGCATTCAAGTCAAAACAAGTTTTAGCAATAGTTAACTGTAAACATGTTTCTCGAATTCTATGAGTTAACGAATCAAGTGTTTTGTTTGTCTTAGTTGAACGTAACATAAAGAAAAAAGTTCTATTTGCAGAATAGGTGACAAAATTTTTATGAATTTGCGGATATAATTTAACATTTTTCAAAAGGGTCAAGAATTATCAGTCCGAAATCGCAACTGATTATAAAACGTTTTGGTGATCCCTCGTATCTATTATGTACAAAACTTTACAAAGTATCAAATTTAATGTGGTTTCGTGATTGTTGAGTATCAAGCAATCATATTTTATGTACACCTTTATTTTAGTTCTAAAATTAATTATTCGAAGTTTCGATACATAATATAAATTATTGAGAGTCGTTGAAGACAAATCCAGACACTAAAATTATTGATAACTAGAGTGATTTGATGCATTTTTATTAGAGCAAAGTAGTGTTACAAAAGTTAGCTTTTATTATTGCAAATTAATAGTAGTTCGAGATATTCATGTGTTTTAGATAATGATTAGTGCATTTTAGTAAAGGTTATTAATTAAGTATAATGTAATGTCATTCAGTAATTCACAACAATATGTGTTAACAAATTGTACAATGGAAGAATTATGTTTTAATCTCAATTACTGCTTAAAAAATTTAAAATTATAAATTGGTAAAAACTATGAATTCATTAATTCTCGTAATTTAGTAAATATACTGCCAACTCTTCTCAAGTACACATGAGAATTGGTCGAGCATTTAATATTCATGACAGAATGTTTATATGTTAGGATTGGGTTCTGACGGATATTCTTCTTAAATTAATATTTAAAACTATTGACTTTGACTTTTTAAACATTTAAATTCTACAGTGATATAGTCGATATTACTGATATCATGCTGTGTTCTTTCATACGTCATCGTGATTCTATGAATTTTGCGATTTCTGTAGCAGTTGAAGCGTGTGCAGAATCCTCTGGTACATTTTCTTAGTCAGTGGATACCTGTCGAGAATGATATCCTTGCCTTGTTCCATTATCGTGTTGAAAAACGTATAAATCATCAGGTCGACCCACGTGATCTGAAGTTATTAGAGGAATCACCTTTAAGCTTGATTTTTTCACTTTTGTAATTTTATTTTTCAATTACCAAGTCGTTGTCAACAAAACAAATCAGTAATTTAATCTACTTAAGTACTTTAAAAGTTAGTTTTTATAATAAATTGTAAAAATGATTTTCGTTTGCACCAAAATAAACTTTATTTTTACTTCTTCTCCAATAATATACGACGAATTATTAGTGTTCAACTGCTTTTCAATAACTGATAAAGTTCGTTGTACGATTTCTACCAATTCCATATTATCAGTTGTTAAGCACTAAAATCATAAAAGTTTTAAAATTATCATTGTAGAACAGTGAGATATTCCATTAAAATATTATTTTGTGATATGTTGTTATAATTTGTTACTTAGTATAATTTTAGTTAATATGTCAAAATTTAGATAAAATCGGGAAAACTTTTATGATAATCTCATTAAATAAATAATTGCTGAAAACAATTATAATAACCTAAATTCCCAAAGTTATTAGTCTAAAATTATATTTGAACTGACATTAGTTCTTCTTTCAGTAACATCAGTCATTGTTCCGGAAAATAAGATTTGTGCTTCAAAAAGCATATCAGCAAACATATCCAATAAAAAGTCAGAAGCTGCACTTTGACCTGATAATCCTGCAATTAGATATCAACTTATAAACAAAATTCGCAAATACATCAAAGATTAGTATACTTTTATTTAGAGAATCACTGAAATAAGTATTATTCGAAAAAAAATGCTAAAAAATCATGAAATCGAGTAGAAAAAAATGAACTGAAACTTGTAAATTTATAGCTTGTACATTTATTTAAAAAAATGAGATAAAATCCGTAACTATACAACATAAATAGTGTTTCGATAAAATTTTCGCATAATACTGAATATACACAAATACACATTTATCTCTAATAAACTGATAAAATATTCAAATTTAATTAAATACTTGGAAACCTACCAAATCTCCAAGCCAAATGACGACAAATAGCTGTTTGTCCATTCATTTTCATTCCATCTATTTCCAAAATTGGTAATGTTCCAAGTGGAGTTTCTGTAAGTTTCAAATAAAATAATTCATCGTAAAATATTTGAAGCAAATTGAAGACATCAGAAAAGCTAAGTTTTTCCTTTTTAAATTTAAACTAATAATGAAATTCATATCTTCAAATTCATTATTGTTTTTAATTAAAAATCTAAATACAACTGTAAAAATAAACATCAGTATTACTTCAAATTATAAACATTGTTACTTATTGTTAAGGTTTTTCACTACGCATAAGAAATAATTGTTATTTTAATTGACTTCTTAAAAAATTTTGTAAAGGTTTTTGTGAAACAAAAATTAACTTGAAAAAAATTTGCATAATTGTTCTTTACCATTTTTCAAAGCATCCCATTGTTCTTCATGATTAATTATGATATCTTCATAAGGAATATTTGCAACAGTAAATATCAGTCTTGCTAATGCGCCACTTCTGCGATCATCAAAATCGTATAATTTAAATTTCGGTAGGAATAAATCAATTTTCATTTGTAAAAATTGATTTGATTCCGTTGGATGACAAATCAATTTTGAACTGAAAGCTCTCGAGCAGTTCAGTGGATTAAGAGAGGACAAGGAATTTCAAGCAATGATTTCATAGAATCTATGTAAAAAAATTATTACAATAATTATCCCTCGTAGAAATATTATCATCATTGTTGTCACGATTTTCATCATAAACAAAAACAACATCATAATCGTCAAAAATCCAATAAATGACCGTAATTACAAATTAGTCTTGTACTTGTAATTCACTTAGTTTAGGCGCAAAAATTTTAAATTATTGTAGCAAAAATACTGCAACAAAATGTTTGAATTCAAAATAATCAAATTTGCTGGGAAAGTAACAAGATTTTAAATACAATATTATAATAAAATAATAAAATGATTAATATTACGATAATCAACTGTTAATTACATTATGCGAGAAAATTGCGGAATAAAGTTACTAGCAATATATTAAAAGTTCGCGTAAAGCAAAAAAAAAAATTATTACTGAATTTTATAATCAAATTTTAAAACAATGAGCGTATTTATTTTCAAATAGCAAACTGCATACTCGATATATACTCGTATTCCACGTACTTTTTCATTTAAGTAACTATTTTGCAGTACGATGAATATAAAATTTGAGTAGAAATAAAAAATATTTGCAAAAAAATTTTTTTTGCAAATATTTTTCAATAATTGTCATTTTCTGAATAAAATATTTATAATAAAATAAGCAATAATGCACTGAAATGAATAGATTGAATCTATTCAAAATTGTTTTTTATGCTTTTAATTATTTATGTTATTCACCAAATTCTTTTTAGGTTCCATCAACATTTTATACATAACAATAATAGATTAAAGTATGCATAACATTTAAAAAACCCATTTGATTTTTACCATAAAATTCGCGCCATTAATAATTTATAATTTACAGCAGATATTGGAAGTTCATATCCAAGATTAAAAAAAGGTGGTTGGTTTCATTAAAAAGCATTATTCATACTTGCATAACTAATTTTTTTTAGGAAAAATGTCAATAATTACTTAAATTTCATTTTCTTATTTAAATTTAAATATCTTTAATAAATAAACCATTCACCAAATATTTTGATTTTAATATTTTTTATCGATTAAATAGTAAAATTTTAATGTTCATAATATCTTCAGATTTTGTAAAATCCATTATGTTAGACGGATGAAGTCAGTTTTTAGATAAAGTAAAAAAGACTTTCGATACATAAAGAAATGTTTTATTTAGCATTTTAAAAATAGCTCAAATTTTCACTGTCTTAAAGTTTTCAACAAAACACGCACAAAACAAATTTAGTCTTCGAAATGAACAAAAAAGATTAGGTAGTTTGATTTTGATTATTTTATTCGAAAATAACAAAACTTTAACTTTGTATTATATCAATATTTTAAATTTGTTAGAAAGAAAAACTTATGTAACAAAAAACGTTTTTTAAACGTTTAAAAAACGTAAAAAAATAGAGATAAAAACATTGTTTG